CTATTTAACTAAACGAAAACAGTTCCTTTACATAAACGTTCTGAATTCATTCTAAAAATTCAAGTTTCTCAAGGTTCAGTTTTGGGACCTATTCTCTTTTTACTATATATTCGTGACTTCTTTAAAATTCCTCTTAAATTACAAATTTTTTGTTACGCAGAAATGTATGTAGCACTTGTATTTGACAATCCATTACTTTAAGTCCTATGTAATATTATGACGATTATAATTTAATAAATATTTGTTTGATCAAACCATGTATCAATTATTGTAAGTAAAACTTTTCTCAAAATCATCCCAATTATAAATTAAACCTTTCAAATCACTTTACCTTTCATGCAGAATTTGGTAAACAAACGTTAACTGTGATTGTTTAGATTTGTAATAAATATCTTGAAATTACTTTGGATAAATATGTACACATAGAAACTCTCATCAACTAACTCACAAGCAAACTGGAAGGCTTTAATTCAAGTTTAGCTTTCAAGTTTAGAATAGAAATAGTCTTGACTTTCATACCATAAAAATGGCTCATTTTGAACGTTCCTTCTGACATACGGAATCGTTCCATGGGATTCTGCTAAAAAAAAAATTCAAGTTGCAAAATATAACAACATTTATCTTACATAAAAGACGAACTTATAATTTTGTACGATTTTTTAAAATAAATTTCTCCGTATGTAAAACAACTTTTTACTTGTATTTCTATTGTCTTCTATTCTATTTAAAACTAATATCCCTTACACAAATACAATGTATTTTACTAGGTTTAATGATAATGTTAATTCACTACTTTCGTGGTCCGCTTGACCAATTAACACATGACAATTAATTAAGGTTTTTAGTTGAGATGAAAAAAAGCTAATGGCACGAGAGGGATTCGAACCCACGACCTTCGGCTAGATAAGCCGCTGCTCTACCACCTGAGCTATCGTGATCTCGATCCACTCGGACACCACTTAATTGAAAGATATTATTTGGTCAAGCGGACCACGAAAACTAGTGAATTCTTAGTAAATGACCCCAGGTCCATCACTTGTGGAAAATGGCAAAAGGAGAGAAAACTCATAAGGTGGGGTTGAGATGGGGAGTTAATGTCCGAGCGGATCGAGGTCACGATAGCTCAAGTGGTAGAGCAGCGGTGTATCTAGCCGAAGGTCGTGGGTTCGAATCCCTCTCGTGCCATTAGCTTTTTTTCATCTCAACTAAAAACCTTAATTAATTGTCAGATAATGTTAATTTGAAGTTCCCGGCAGACGGTTTATTACCATGCCATTTAGTACAATATGTATTTTATTTTTCGTATTGATTGCACCCATATGTATATACATTATATCTTACTCTTTTAGATAAATAGAGTTTCCAAAATAATAAAAAAGTTATCAGTCGTTAGAACTGATTTTTTTTACAATCATTCAGGTAACAGCAATACGATTCGCACAAAAAAATAATTTTAAGTTCTTTGATTTTAATTCTAGTAACGAATTCAAAAAGTGTATTTCAAAAATTATAAAAATGAATTGATTGCTTAATTTTTAATGTTATAAACTGTTGAGTTTTTGCTTTATATTGCATAACTTATAGATAATAATTATTACCCGCTGTTAATGTAAATATATAATCGTACGCTTTAAAACTTTTTCTGATTTTATACCATGTTTTTATGTATTTCTATGAAATTATTATTTTATAATGTGTCTTTGGCTGTGTATGTAATTCCAGCTTTCTGCACAAGGGAAATTTTTTCAGAGGGCTTGCCCTAAAAGCAGAATTAAAAATAAACAAATCTGACAGGTTCATCGTTCAATCATCATGTCACTGTCAACTAACAAACATTGGGATGATGTTCCGTCTATGATTTCACTGAAGAAACTAGTGATTTAGATCTTTTTTGAGAAGCTAGAGTGTTTGGATATGCGTCAGTATTGAATTAGTAACTACAGTTCTATTTTCTTTGGGTGACTTCTCGTGTATACGTTCTAAGGGTCCCGGGTTCGAATCCAGCGGCCCTGCATTCGAACTCAACATACCTCCAAATGGACTTTTTTCAAAAACACCGGCACCCTGAGGGTTGATATGACCGTAAGTCGTATATCATTATCGACCAAACTGGCTATACCAATGGAATATTCCTCATTTTCTTGTTTTTATACGCGAAGTCAAGGTTTTACATTTGTTTAATGTGTTTTCATATTCCATGGCTATTTCACCTCCTAGGCGGTTTTATTTGGTATTTCTGTCTTGTTTCTTATCCTCTGATGATCCTTCTTAGCCCTTGTTTGATGAACGATTTTTGTTTTTTAGGAGAGACTTCAATGTGATATGAAGTTTTAGATACCTGTTGTTGAATTCTGTATTAAACAGAACCGGTATCACTGCACCATCCGGCTTTTTTCCCACTGGACGGATCAAAGTCGATGGAGGGTAAAAAAAGAGGAAGAAGGCCTATCAATACGAGATGGGAGATACATTAGATGAAATGCAGTTTCCTCGCAACAAGTCATAATTGTCCAGGGCCGATTATCGGGATGTTTATCTCTTGACGTTGATGTTTGACTATCGCGGTTTAACCGGTAATGAGTAACAAAGATGGAGCCTTTTTTGTAATTTAGATGAGAGATACGTCGGGAGCCGAAATAAAGAGGGCTGACTCATTTCCGGCGACAAGAGCTCCTCCAAGGTGAAATGGGTTCGGGAGAGGTAATTTTTAGAAAGTGAAATTATGCCCATCCTTTACAGCCATCTTATTTTTCCCACTCTAGACTTCCTATTGTCAAAAGACAAGTGCATCTGATGAGACCGAAGCTAAATATTTCTTGATTTTTTTTATTATCCATAGTTAATATGAGGATGTATATTTCTTTACAGTAAGAAAACTTTCTTAAAGAAAATTTTTAGTAAAGATAACATTTTAAACTTTGTATTTTTTCCCTTGCTTGGTCATAATCTACAAACAAGTGTTATGAGGCTGGCTCTGAATATGAGAGATTGAAGGGCGAGATCTCGATGCTATCGGCGTAGGGTTAAGATGGATGGAGAATTTTGTGTGGAAGTTTTGGAAGCGAAATAGGATCAATTCGTTGACAAATGGAATGTTGAATCCGTTGTAGATAGTGAGGTTGATGATGATGATGGATACTACGAAGCGGGATTTGTGCTCCCAACGCATAGCAAACTTCTGGCTTATTGTACCTTCGTAGTTTCCTAGTTCAGTGCAATCTACTCAATCATTCTTCTCAGAAGTGTTAGGTCATTGACTGATACAATTTCATCCCCTGGTTTTTTGTATCCTAGGTTTTGTCTCCATTGAGCAGTTGCTTCGCATTCCAAGATGATATGGATGACTGTTTCTTCCTCCTCATCTCATAATCTGCAAATGGGATCATCGTTGAATATGCCCATGTTATGATTTAGGTCTGAAATGTTTATGTAAATCATAAGTATCTGACTGAGTGGAGAAGTCGATAATTCCTTGTTGTTTCATTTGTTGATCATTTGATTTTAAAGGAGTTCTTTGAAGTTGGATGCTGCTGGGATTCGGATTAGAAGACTAAATGCGATATCATGTGTCATGGTAATGATAGTGTTGGGAATGTCAGGAGAATAAATAGTAAATAGGGTGGGACTAAGAATGCTCCGTTGTGAGACTCCTGTACTGAGGTCTAGGTATAATTCCACGACTGTCTGCTATCTACGTAAGTCCTAACCCGATTGGAGGAATCAGAAGTTCCTTGCTGTTGGTGAACAGGGAGGTTAAGACTGTTCTTTCATGAGTGATTTTCTTTCGATAAGCTCAATCTGCCTTTGGATGTTGAAGGTTGCTTGGACGGGATTTGGGCTAGAAAACAAAATTGCGGTATCAACTGCCTAGCGTCAGAAAGTCAGCAATAAAACGGTATAGGATGGGTCTAGAAATGTTATTAATGTACAGTGGAGGGCATGCTTGTTTTTCCACCAATCTTTGATTCTTAGGTAATCTTGGATGTAGAAGGTTACTTGAATATGAATCGAGTTTGAAGATGAACTTGTTTCTGACTGCTTACAACTTCAACATGCCTTAGTAAAACTTAATAACTGATCTTCAACGAATAATATTTTTTTAAATTATGACAAATGTTCAGTTATGACATTCCGTAAAACAAAATATCTTATAAAATTTAACTACGCCATGTCAGACTCGCTTCTAATTAGTCATGAAATTGTTAAAGATCTTGGTATCATTATCGACAGACAGATAAACTTTCACACACATATTAACTAAAGCAAATAAAACTTTAAGTTTTATTACACGGCATACTTAAACATGTCTATGATCTAGATACACTTAAAATTGTATACACTTCCACTAAGACCATTATTGGATCACTATTCACCGTTTTGGGCTCCCTTTCAATCCATCATAAGCGCATAGAAGCGGTTCAAATCAGATTTTTACGCCTGATACATCACAGAACAAGTGGAGAATACAAAGATACACCATATTTATCGTCAATGCCGGATCTGAAATTGACGACTGTTCTGTATAGAAGGTCTTTCTTTCATAGTAGATTATTGTATAAATTATTACATTCCTTAACTGAACGCCTAACCGGCTCAACCGAATTAATTCATGTTCCATTCCAGAAGTCAACATTATCCATCTTTTACCATAGAACTAATTATGCCAAATTCATTTTTATACCAAGAACAAGAAATTTGTTAAACTCGTTCGAAAATATAGATATATTTAATATCAGTTTAAGCAAATTTTATTATTCGAAAATTAAATATTGCATCATTAATTGAAATCATCATCATTGAAAAATGGCAAAAAAGAGGGAAAACTCATAAGGTGGGGTTGAGATAGGCAGTTGATGTCCGAGTGGATCGAAGTATGATAGCTCAAGTGGTAGAGCAGCGGCGTATCTAGCCGAAGATCGGGGGTTCGAATCCCGCTCGAGCCATTAAATTTTTTTCATCTCAACTAAAAACCTTAATTAATTGTAATGTATAAAGGTCGATCCACACATATCCGTGCCGTGACGGGACGTAACGTACCGTCACGTGACTTTCAGTGAAAAAAAAAAATCGGCTGACGAAAATTCTTTGTAAACTAAGGAAGAAATACGGTGCGTGTTCAAACATGAACGACAACGTGGCTCTCCGACACTCTCAGTGCCCTTCCGGCGTCCACCGTGAAAATAAGAAATACGTCCTCGCCGATATTTTCAGTTTTCACGTCCGTATTTTTTAAACGAGTTTGCTCTATTCACTTTTGTATTTTCTGTGTGTACCTCATTTTTTTTAATATGAACGACGAGCTTCTCATCGAGTTGGTTCGGGAACGGCCAGTGCTTTACGATTTGAAGGACCCCAAATACCTAAATGCCGATTGGAAAGGAAGAATTTGGCAGGAAATTGGTCTCAAAATTAATGTCGATGGTGAGTTTATAAATTTATTATCTTACAAAATTTACTTTATTATTACAAAATACAAAATAATTACGAATAGTAAATTACGAAAGACGAAATAGTAAATACATAATAAAAAACCTACTACATAATAAATACCTACAAACAATTAACCAACTTTCAAGTAAGGACGTGGTAAACGTCATTAACAAAATCATTGATCTCGGCCACTAATAGCTTGATTTTGCCAAGGAACTGATCCTGCTTCTGAAGCAAAATAATCTTTAAATGCATCTCTAATTTGAAAGGCGTGTTTAGTGGCATTTCCGCCTTTGTGAGACAAGTTCCTTAGTGCTGAGTTGACTGGCCTGTACTCGTTGCTAGAAGTTTCTCCACTGATGACTGGTGTACCCTCGTACCTTTCATACTTTCGTATGAAATTGTGTAAAACGCAGGTACTCAATATTATGTTGTCCACATTTGCAGGTAATGACTGAATCCGTCTGTTGTATAATCTGAATTTTTGAACCAAGATTCCAAACCCATTTTCCGAAACCCTTCTGGCACGGCTCAGGCGATAATTGAATATCCTTTTTGGATTGTCTAATTCCTGACCGGGGTATGGGCGCATAATATACGGTTTTAACTGAAAAGCCTCATCAGCGACTATAATGTGTGGTAATTCGATGCTTGTGCCCGGGAGAAGTACGGGTCCAGGTACCGAAAAGTTGCCTGATTCAAATGCTTTACCGATGTTAGAGCGTGCCCAAATACCNAAGGTACGGTACTGTGTGAATAGCAAAGAAAAATTTATCACGGATGTCACCGGAGGCTACGGAACACGGAGAGCAACGGTGCCGTCCCGTCACGGATATGTGTGGACAGACCTTTAATTGGTCAAGCGGACCACGAAATTAATGAATTTAATACATCATTAATATTGATCGTTCATTCCGGTTGACCAAATAACATCTTTCAATTAACTATCTTTATGTAAGGTATTGGGGTTGAGATAAAATAGTCAGCGTCACGAGAGGGATTCGAACCCACGACCTACGGCTAACTACACCGCTGCTCTATCACTTGAGTTATCGTGACTTCGATCCACTCGAATCCAATCTCACTTTTATCTCAACAAATACCTTTCATAAAGATTATTTAATTGAAAGATTTAATAAATTAATTAAATGAAGTATATCTTCATTAAAGCTCTCCGTGGGCATTTCATTTGTCGCGCGAGAATCAAATAGATTACACGACATTTGAAAAATGACAGAAAGGAGGGAAAATTCGAAGTGTTGGGCTGAGATGGGAAGTTGGTCTCCTAGTGGATCGAAATCACGATAGCTTAAGTAGTAGAGCAGCGGCGTATTTATCCGAAGGTCGTGGGTTCGAATCCCGCTCGTGACACTGATTTTTTTATCTCAACCAATACTTACATAAAGATTAGTTAATTATAATTAATAGTTGATAATTATAGTGTTAATACATTTTCAAAATTGTTTCTATTCAATCTAAATTGTTTGTTGGTTTTATAATTATAAATTTTTCTAAATTTATATACTTAATACTTTTAATGCATACATTTGTAATTGAGAAACCGTAAATAAATAAGGCCAAATTGCGGTATCATTCGCGTAGGTGATAATCATGTGTTGGGATAGGAACGTCAGAAATAAAAATGGGAAACAGGACGGGACCAAGAATGCTCCCTTGTGGGACGCCGGCTTGCATCTGTCTAATATCGTCGCAATTCACTCTGAAGGAGCGACAAGTTAAACACGATTCTAAGATAAGGTATAAGTAGTGGAAGTGTTTATGTTTATAGGGGATGCTTGATTAGCAGAAAATATCAAAAGCCGAGGCGAAGAGGGACTAATTGCTATCAGAACAATAAACAACCTACAATAACGTTACAATTATACTCGTTGTGAAAGAATGTAAGGCCAAATGTAAAAAAAAAAGTCGAACTATAATATGAGGGTTGCAAGGACATTACAGTGAACAACAAACATATTGAGTAAATAATTCGAAGCGTGGATTGAAGGATGTTTTAAAAGTGATGTCTCCGTAGCAGAAGTATTTTTTGCCATGGAGGGGAACTGCTTTTAGGGTGGATGGCGAGGGAGGTCCCCGGAGTAATGTATTCAGGGGATGGCAGCCCCTCGCCTAATATATCTATTATCAACCGACGTGGCTGACGGCCCCGGGGGAGCACGAATCCGGGATTATTCGGGCCAGCCCCCTCGACGTGATAGGCCTTCGAACCAGTCTCACAACTTCTATCTTTCAATTTAAGGACATAACCCGGAATGGAGTTTTTCTGACGGGGAATTAACTTGTTAAGTAAACATAGAGTTGAAGAACTTGGGGACCGGCTAAGTCTTGGTTTATTTATTTTCTTTAATCCCGCTGACGCTTGGATGGAATGTTTTCTTTGTTCCTACCAATCCATACACTCTTGGGTCTCCTAAATGCTTTTTTTTAAGGACAGCTTTTAAAGACTAGAAGATTAGTGTAATTGAGTTGGCAACTGATCCTTTTTTGGATTATGTATACACCGGTTTGGTATTTAATTACGCGTTTTAACTTTCAATGCTAGTGAATAATCAATCCTTTCCGGTTTTGTCGGTTAAGCGCGTTTGGACATTTAGTATCAGAACGTATAAAAAGGATAGGAACCCGGAAAATCACACAGAATAACCATTATGATGAAAAAAGTACAGGATTTCATAACAAAGTTTTAGAAGATTTTTATACACTTACTAGCTTTATAACCCAGCATTGCCCGTGGGATAATAAAAAGTGTTATTTAACACTATACAGGGTGTTCGGCTACTCGGCTTACAAATTCTGCCAGTAGATGCTACATTCTAAAAAGAAACCAAAAAGTCCTAATTAACTATGGTCTGAATCTCAACAATTTCGAAGTTATTTTCCTAATTTTTCTGATTTTTTAAGATTTTACGACCTTGCTTCAAATAAACGATGATACCTCCACAAACTAAAAAGTTTTGGACAAATCCGTTGATACTATTGAAAACTAGGTTAAATTTCCAATAAGATGTGATAAATACTAAACTTTTAAACGTTGGTGAAATAGGTTTTTCACTGCCCAGAACTTTTTTTCAAAATTGAAAAACTCGTTAAATTTTTATTCTAAATTCTATAATTATTCAGAAATCGTGAGATGCGGTCTGGTGTGATGTAGGTTTCAGAAAAACATTTTCTTTATCCTGCCAACGTTTCGATCTTTATTGAGATCATCTTCAGGGCCTGGGATTTACAAACATTGTTTACATTTAACAAATACATTTAGGATGTGGAAAAGTGAATTTATACAATGCAAAATATATTTTTTATATTCAATCAAAGTATTTCTACTCACTCAACTCAGAGTTATTTCACTTTTTCTGATTTTTTAAGGTTTCACGACCTTGCTTCAAACAAACAATGATAACTCCAAAACTAAAAGGTTTTGGACAAATCCGTTGATTCCATTGAAAACTAAGTTAAATTTCCAATAAGATGTAATCTCTAAACTTGTGAACGTTGGTGAAATAAGCATTTTAGCCAGAACTTTGAAAAATACTTCTTTCTCAATGTTGAAAAACTTACTATGGTGATTCTAAACTGCTATTTCCAACTTCCAAGCAAATTTCAGAAAACGTACTCCATTTAATATCCTTTTTAGTGGTGTTATTGCTTTTTTAATTACTTTTTTCAAAGATGAAGAAATTGATGAAGGAAAGGAAAAAACCGTGGTTGAAGGATTGATAAGGTGGAAAATTAAAAAAAGAATGTAAAAACTTACGGAAATTTTGAATGAATTTATTAAGCGTTTTTTAATTTGGGTTGGAAACAGAAATAGTGCAAGTGTTTACTTATTTACCAACACGCCAGCAACTTTGATTAAAGGATTATTGTATTATTATTCCCTGAAGAAAAAAGAGTTTTAAGATTCAGAACGTTTTTTCTTCATTCATTCAAAATTTTCTTCAGCTTTTACGTTTTTTAATATTTTTTTAATTATTTTTTTTTAATTTTCCTCCTTACCAGTCCGTCAACCACGTTGTTTACGTTTCCTTCATCAATTTCTTCATCTTTGAACAAAGAAATTAAACAAACAATTACACCATTAAAAAGCATATTAAATGGAGTACATTTTCTGAATTTTGCTGGTCCCTAGGATTGGAAATAGAATTTAGAATAGAAATTTAACAAGTTTTTCAATTTTGAAAAAAAAGTTAATCGTTCCAAATTAATAGTAATAAAAAATAAAAAAACTTAAGGAAATTTTGAATGAATTTATTAAAGGTTTTTTTAATTTTAACGTTTATTTTAAATCCATTTACGTTTTCGTGGTCAATTGACCAAGTTACTTCTTTCAATTAATTATTCTTTCTATGTAAAGACTTGGTTGAGATAAAAAAGTCGGTGTCACGAGCGGGATTCGAACCCACGACCGTCGGCTAAATACTCCTCTACTCTACCTCCAGTTAGATAATTACATATGCAATAGTATGATTGTTTTGGATTATATTGCATTGAATTGTAATTACTGTTGTATTCAGGGATAAATTCTTTGCCTGCTCTTGAGTATACAATGTTTTTGGTGATTCCAACAGGCATATATACAACAAACAAATACCTTGGTTTCCTGGAGCAACATGAGAAAACCATGGATTCTCCAAATTCAATCCACATAATGCCAATGATTGGCCTTTCGATTTGTTTATTGTTACTGCAAAAGCAGTGTTTAATTGAAAATTACAATCGTTTGAATTGGAACGGCACTTCAGTTCAGTATATGTTGTGCTACCACATCCTCTCCTTTGAATTTTAGTAAGAATGTTAATATTTTTCTACGAACAATATGTTGCCGTTTTGGTGGTACTTGAGACAACAGGAAAACGCGATTCTACAACAGAGTCGAAAAGTCGTAATGTAACATTAAACATTATTAGGTATACTACAAAACTTCATTTCATAATATAGCAAAATCATCTGTAATATTGAAAAATAAGAAACTATCAAAAATATAAAAAAATTAAACATATGGAACTTCGCAATTTTTTACTTTATAAAAATAAAATAATAAAAAATAAAATAATTAAAAAATAACAATAAACTATTAAAAAACGTATAAATCTATTTGACATAGAAAAAACGAAAACTGGTCCTTCAAAGTAGTGGCAAGTACACTGAGCCGAGTTAGGTTTCAAACCCGTACGGTACTCTTGACCAACGGAATTCTTTATTGTACTTTTAGCATCAGCGGATCTCGACGTTAAAGTCTAGAGGAGGGGGCCACCCTGGGACAGCTTTTATTCTTAAGTCTTTTGGATTTAACAAAAAGATTTAAAAAAAAAATTTGCTGTTACAGCCATTATGATGTTGAATTATTAATGTTATTTATAAATATTCTGATCAGCCTTATATCATTAGTACTTTATAGGGCAGAGAATGCTTGACTTAAAAAAAAACCGAACTACTTGAAAATGAGAATGTTCCGAGGCTGGAGGTAATCGTAGCCGGGCACTTTGCTCGGCAAAGGGTTGTTTACCCTGTTTCCCTTCGGCTTTCGTTAGCGAGGATGACTCTGCACTGGAGCTTCTGCCCTGTTATTAGCAACCCTCCTCGTCGCTTTTTCACCCCGTGAATCCCGGCAACACCGGCGCCAAAGACGTGGCGCCGTCTGAACCCGGGGGACTTGGAAAATGCGAATTCAAAATTTCCATCTTTTCCAGAGTTTGCGAATAAGGGTGGAAATCAAGCTTTTAACCCCCCCCCCTCAAGTTGTCATACGTCAAAAAATTTGCCCGCTTTGATCCATCTAATTGGAAATAGGCGCCACGCTGTTTAATATATGAAACGGAAACAGGGAACCGTAAAAAAATAAAAAATATTAAAAAAATAATAAATTAATTGTGAATATTGTGAACTTAATCAAGAAGTAAGGCCTTGTGTCTCCCAACAACTAAGCAAGTTAGATGTGTCATCCTCTCACTCTTAATAATTTCATCAGGCCAATTAACCGGATAATTAACGAATTCTAAGTAATTAGAACACAATATTTACATACTCAAAAAGACGCATTTATTACTAAGGAAACTAACATAAAAGCCAACGATAACTTAATTTTCTACAATATATATCTTGCTTGGTTTATTTTCTTTACTGGCCCCTATTCACCCATGGATATTGGTGATCTTTTATTGACGAACTCCAGTATTTTAGGTTTTTTTCTTTTATTAATAAAATTAACTCATTTCAGGCTAATTCGAATAATTACTCTTCAGCTGGCGATGTTTCGGCCTTTATTCCATAAACCAACACAAGGGTTTCCCGTATAAATTAAAACGTGTCCTTCCTAATATTTTGTACCTTCGCTCCTCACTTACAGAACGATTCCGCGGACCCCAAGGATAGGACTACTCCGAATATTGCCTTCTAGGTGCTGGGCTGCCCGAGGGCAGTGTCTCGGACCAATGTTGTACCCTATCTAAGGTATCCAAACTACACCCTCCTCTCGCCTTGCCTCTTTTGCCAACGACAGATGTGCTGTCCTCTCATTCTGATCCTGCAGTTGGTTCAGAAGAGCTTCACGTACAATCCTACCTTACAGAACGATTCCGCGGACCCCAAGGATAGGACTACTCCGAATATTGCCTTCTGGGTGCTGGACTGCCCGAGGGCAGTGTCTCGGACCAATGTTGTACCTCATCTAAGATATCCAAACTACACTCACCTCTCTCCTTGCCTCTTTTGCCAACGACAGATGTGCTATCCTCTCATTGTGGTCCTACAGTTGGTTCAGAGGAGCTTCACGTACAATCCTACCTTATAGGACGATTCCGAGGATCCCAAGGATAGGACTACTCAGAATATTGCCTTCTGGGTGTTGGACTGTCCGAGGGCAGTGTCTCGGACCAATGTTGTACCTCATCTAAGATATTCAAACTACACCGTCCTTTCTCCTTGCCTCTTTTGCCAACGATAGCTGTGCTATCCTCTCATTCTGATGCTGCAATTGCTTCGGAGGAGCTTCACGCGCACTCTTGCGCCAAAAATTTTGCCTGCTTTGCTCCGTGGATACGGGCGGGGCTACATAAGTTAATATTAAATTGGAAAAGGGCGCCACACTGTTTAATATATGAAACAGAAACAGCGAATAAAAGAATAAAGTAAAAAAAGTTAAGAGTTGTTAAATTAACCAAGAAGTGGGGCCTAGGTTTGTGTCTCCCTAACCAAACAGGCTAGAATGTCAGTCTCACACATTTAATAATTTCTTCAGGCCAATTAATCGAATAATTACGAAATTCTAAGTAAATAGTACACAATATTTACATACTCAAAAAGACGCATTTATTGCTAAGGAAATTAACATGTAAAACAACTTTCAATTAATTAATCTTTATGTAAGGTATTGGTTGAAATGAAAAAGCTAGCGTCACGAGCGGGATTCGAACCCACGACCTTCGGCTAAATACGCCGCTGCTCTACCACTTGAGCTATCGTGACTTCGATCCACTCGGACACTAACTTCAGCTTTTGAATTATTCTTCCTTTTTGGCATTTTGCAAATGTCTTGTAATCAGGATTAGATTCTCGGCGACAAATGAAATGGTCACGGAGGGCTTTACTGAATATATACTTCGTTTTACTTATTAAATCCATTATATTTCGTGGTCCGATTGACCAAATAACTTCTTTCAATTAATTAATCTTTATGTAAGTTATTGGATGAAATGAAAAAGCTAGTGGGGTCGAAGTCACGATAGCTCAAGTGGTAGAGCAGCGGGATTGCTTTTTCATTTCAACCAATACCTAACATAAAGATTATCTAAATGAAAGAAGTTATTTGGTCAATCGGACCACGACATATAATGGATATAAAACTACTATTACTTAATTATCTACGTGTAACACTATAACAAAATGAGAACAAACCTACAGACTAAATGAACCTTGTCTTAAAATCTAAATAAACTTTTATTAGAAACTAAATTTTCCTGAGAACTAGTGTCCATCTATGTTTCTTGATTCCGATGACGTTGGGTGGGTCCACTGTCGCTCGATGAAGGAATTGATTATTTTTCTAAAGATCCGGCCAGGACATAGAGATATCACTTGTTTCCCTAGTTCTCTATACCGACTCACCTACCCTAATGCCGAGCCTATCCTAAGCCATATTAATTTGAGCTTGACACACCGCCAACTTTAGTTCAGTAGGCATTATGATCCAGGAGGTATACCCGGTTAAATAATAATGCGCGCATATTTTGTACGAACGTAACAATTGGGGGAATATTACAAGTCAAATAAGTAGATTTCTTTCTAGATTCACATACTATTATGACAGTTGAATATGATTTAAAAAAAGTAATGATTTGACCCAAAAACGACTACTACCACAAACGGAACAATGTATCACTCTCACTGACTTTCTATTAAAATATTAATCCGTTTATGTTTTAGTGGTCAATTGACCAAGTTACTTCTTTCAGTTAATTATTCTTTTTATGTATGGACTTGGTTGAGATAAAAAAGTCGGTGTCTCGAGCGGGATTCGAACCTACGACCTTCGGCTAAATACGCCGCTGCTTTACCACTTGAGCTATCGTGAGTGCGATCCTCTCGTACACCAACTCTCCATCTCAACCTACAATCGTTCGAATTTTCCCTCTTTTTGCCTTTCCCTCTTGTTGGTGAAGTGATAGTTTTTTTATTTATGAAATATTAATCCATTTATGTTTTAGTGATCAATTGACCAAGTTACTTCTTTCAATTATTTTTTGTAATGTAAGGTCTTGGTTGGGATAAAAGGTTGTAGGTTAAGTTAAAAGGTAAGGTTGTAGGTTGAGAGGACAGTTGTCCGAGAGGATTTAAATCACGATAGATCAAGTGGTATAGCAGGGGCGTATTTATGCCGAAGGTCGTGGGTTCGAATCCCGCTCGTGACACTGACATTTTTATCTCAACCAAGATATTACATAAAAAGAATAATTCTATTAAAATGCTGATTTCAATTTTATTACTAAGCCTTATTTGCTTTAGTTGGACCAGTAATTATAAAATATTTCCTTTCTATTCCATGCCT